ACAGATTTGGAGTTTATCAGAATATCCGATGACAAGGTATAAAGGTGGTAACATTTTCGTTAATTTTCAAAGTAAGGTAAGAAAGCTATAGATTACCTTGTTTTGTCACATGATAGACCAAATATTCCAGCTTTTCAAGCCTGCTTATTACTTAAAACTTGAAATAGTTAATTACCACTTCCTATTTACTTCAAATCCTCAATCCTCTACTTTGTTTGGATGGTTGTTACATATCATTTCATGTATAGTAATGTATTGTACTATATTGTATTGATGAATACAGTGGTTGGATAGAATGTATCGTTTTCCATTGTTACATAATGCACACATGAACAATTTGATGGACAAACTTATAAGAAAAGTAGGGCACGAGGTAGAACTATTATAAAAAGGTAGATTAAAGGATAAAGTAGGATTATTAGACAATAAGCAAAGATAAAATGAGAACAAAAGATAAGGTAACGACGCGATCACACCAAATCAGTGCTACATAAAAAGGGACTTTTTGTCGTTATGTAACAATGAATTTAATGATACAATACGAGTAACAATCAAAACAAACATAGCATTTAAACTAACAATACAATACAATAGGTAACAACCATCCAAACAAGCTGTTAAATTCTCACCAGCAGACTTTGGATCTCTCAGTTTGTTAAAAGTCTATTAATCATAAATGGCGACTACATTTGAAATCAATTTCAACGATATAAGTGCATGGTAGAGAAAAAACATTAGAATTTGCATAATGTATTAAAAGAGCAAACAAATCCCAGATCTGATCTCAAGCTGTAAGATTCACACTTCAAAAGAAAACCTTCAAAACCTCCAATTTTGTACTAGCAAGTATAGATCAACTACAGTTAGAGGAAAAGATAAAAGATCCCAAAAGGCTCAGAAAACAAGAAAAAGATTCCTCTTTTACTCATTAAAACCAAATCACAGCAATAAGATTCAGTGATTCACACTTCAAAAATCCTCCAATTTTGTACTAGCAAGTATAGATCAACTACATTTAAGGGGAAAGATACAAGATTCCAAAAGGGTCACTCAGAAAACAAGAAAAAGATTACTCTTATACTCATAAAAACCAAATCACAGCAAGATCAATAGAAATCAAATAAACAAAATTTCAAAACTAAACCAAAAATCAAATCTTTAAACATTTTCAACATACCCCACTAGCAAAGAATCCTCTTTTATACATAAAAAACCAAATCACAGCAAGATCAACAGAAAGCAAATAACCAAACTTTCAAAATAAACCCAAAAATCAAATCTTTAAACATTTTTCAACATACCCCACTAGCAATCACAACACCAGCAACCACAGGAACAAGACAACCATAAGTAATCCAAGCTTCCCTCTTCTGAGTGATCAGATAAGCAAACAAAGCTGTGAAAAACGGTGTCGTTGCACCGACAGCTTGATTGAATGATACAGGAAGATACCTTAAAGAAATGTTCCCACCAACAACAGACCCACAAAAGACAATGCTAAGAGTAGCAATTCTTAAGAATTGAGACCTTGATTTGATCCTCTGAATAGGTACAATCTTTAAGAAAACAATGGAAACATAGCTAAGAACAGCACAAGCTGACATATGACACATTGTGAGGAAAATAGGGAAAGAAAAACCATAGTTTGAGAGTAATAATTTGTTTAGGAGAAGGACACCAATGTTGGATGAGTACCAGATGATGATAAGTGAAGCAATGAAAAGGGTTTGTTTTTCTGATTGTGCTGATGACATTTTTGGTTTGTGGGTTAGTGAATTCTTGAATTTGTGAAGGAATTTCAATGAGTAAATCTTGTTGAGGGAATGTGTTTTGTTTTTCCTCGGATTGAGGAAATCTTTTATGTTTTTTGATTTGGTTTTTTAGTATGTATGTGTGTGTTTTTTGGGAATTTTTGTTAGATGTGTGTATAGGTGGAAGAAAGAGAAACAAATACTTTTTTTAAAAAAAATTAACTCTTTTTCCCATAAATTTGAATTATTTAAAGGGAGTATCAAATAAGGTAAAAGAATCATTTTCCTTTTTACGTTTGCAAGTGTAATATAGAAAAAAATTAATTACTATTTTCTTGATTTAGTGATGTGGACAAAAAATGGTCAATTAATATGAGACAAAGGGAGTAATAGTTAAGTGTCAAAAATACATTTAGATTATCTCACTTTTTTGAGTTTCACACTTGAAATATTGAAGGTGTGAGTTTGCTATCTGAACAATCACTCAATAGTTAGTGAAACACATCTCGACTAATTTCTGATGATATGTGTATACTCTCTCTTTTATTTAAAAATTTTGTCAGTGACACTCGATGTGAAAAAATAATTTGATCGTGGTCCGTGGCAAATCCAAAAATAAATTAATATTAGGTTAAATGTTTAAAATTATCACTATGTAAATTAATTTGTTCTAACCATGACATCGACTATCTTCTTGTCCACCTTCTTAGTCGTGATCTTGTATATGTCGTGTCATTGATATCTACGAAAGGGAGAGTTTAAGGTTTTAAAGAAGTCAACTAAATATATATTTAAAATATTAATGTGTAAGCAAATAGAGTTCATTATATAAATAAGGTGGACGAAGATTTTATGAGCAAACGTGCCTACACGCATTTCTACACAAATATTTTGGTCTAATAAACGTCTAGGTGTGTTTCGCCAACCAATGGGTGATAGTTCAAGTAGAAAAATTACTCTCAATAGTTTAGATATGAAATTTTCTTTCTCCTTCTCATATTAGTTGATCATCTTACTAAAAATAATTATCCTATATTAGTTGTCCACCTTACTAAATTAAGAAATCATTAATTAATTTTTTTTATATTACTCTTATAATTAAATTTTTTTAAGTGTTCACATTTGTTAGTAAAAATTCGAAGAAATTTTTAAAGGAGTTAATTAATAAAATTATCTTTTTATTTATGATTTTTTAATATGCATGTAAAAAGAAAAATAATAAAGTAATATGAAATGGGAGAGTAATAAAATGATATACTTTAAATATGTTTTTGATGCTTAACTCAAAATTTTACACACTCTCATGATAGCATCAAGAAAAATAAATGTGTAACTTGTGTTTGTATTATATTAAATTAAAAGAATTAAATAAAGATGTTACAAGAATTAAATGAGGTGTTAATTATTGAGCGTACTTGATAAATTTGTACTTAGACACTTTTTTGATAGGCTTGTAAATCAATATTTTATTTAGACAATATAAGGGGGAAAACGAATTTCACAATCAATTGAGGTAGGGGTGTGCACTATTCGGATTAAACTGAATAATCAAACTAAATCAAATCGAATTTTTATTTTGATTGGTTTTTTGATTTTTTGGATTAATAAATTATTATTTTTGATTTTTTGGTTTGGTTTCGAATTTTAAAAACAAAAACCAAAAAAAAAACAAATTTTATATATATATAAAATGTTTAGGTTTAGAATTAAATTGGAGTTAACCACTTTTGTCCCTTTTTGGTTATTGTCTTTCATGATGATTACATTTAAATTTTATGTTTGAACATCTATAATAGGTATACTTATAAGTATTGTGTTTTAAGTTGTACTTATAATTTATATTAGCAAGTATATTTAAGGGATTAAATATTATTACTTTGGTTATGTTATTAATTATTGACATAACCGAATAACCAATCCGAAAAAAGCCGAACCGAATAGAAAATCAAACCAAACCAAATTTATTTTGGATCAGATTGGGTTACACTTTTCAAAACCAAAAACCGAATGCACACCCCTAAATTGAGGTACTTTATTTTTATATGAGACAAGAAAACTAAAAAAAGAAAAAGAAAAGAAATCCACAAACATAAAAAATGAAAAAGGCCCAAAAAATACTTTATTCTTTGTATTACACAAAAGGAGAAAGAGTCCAAAGGGATTAATTCCTAGATATATAATTAGACATTTAAACATTAATTATAATGAATTAAACACACACACACACACACACATATATATATATCTCATTAAATTGCTTTTTTGACTTATGAGTCAAGTTTAAGAATTAGTCAATCTGAATTTTTACTAGTTTATAACATGCAAAAATAATTAGTCAACTTACTTTACTTTCTATTTTATCAATCAGATTTATTAATCGATCTATTACTTCTATAAAATCATATTTATGATATTTTACTTATGAATTATGAAGTATTAATTTAATAATATTGTTAGAATTGACAAGCTTATAGAGTTTTCATATATTATCAAATTTTCATGTTGATAAAAAAAAATAGAATTTTAAAAATCTAAATTACATAATTAAACAAAATTTAACTTCAACTTTAACTACTAATGGAAGCAAAGGGATGAATTGGTCAATTATTTTGCTAATAATGCTACATTTTGCATTTGTACAACATAATTGCACTAGTAGAAAGAACACAACATGTATTATGCTGGTTACACATAATATGTCATGAATGCAACACGTATTATGTAGATTATGTGTCGTATGTCAAGAAATTCAAAACTATTATATATAAAACTCTAATATTCAAGTGAAGAAAAATGGAAACAAAGTCATTAATCACGACTTATGAGTTTCAAATCACGCGTTATTCAACTTTAGATATTTCTCGATTATAAAAACAAAAAAGATGACCTCTTAGAGTAGATTGTGCTATACAAAAACTTAACTTGAAGAGAAGATAATTGTTTTCCTGTATTTTTCTCTTTTAACTAATTTATAAATGATCTTGTATAAAATTAAATATTTTTTATACTGTCAATGCATAAATTAAGATAGTATGCATATTTTTGGAAAGGAAAAAAAAAGACTAGAGTATATATATTTCCTTTTTGAGATACATGTGGACCTCATCTCAACTATATATATATGACTTTTAATTGGTTTTCAAATATTTCTATTTAAAAGATAATTTCCAATTACTTGACCACCATACATAGAGTATATAATAAGGTATACAATAATATTGCAATGAAGAAATACTCTTTTTTTTTTCTTTTAAAATTAACATGCCATCATCTATCTTACATAGCTAGATACACTGGTCTTCTATGTAAGCCTTGAACTGGTCTTGCATTTGCTTCAAATCCCTGTTTTAAAAAAAAAACATAACTAACATCAAAATCAAAAGTAACGCAAAGCATCCAACGTTGACAGGATTTAGTGAAGGAGTGCACTACAACAAGTGTAATGAGACAATCTACCTTAATAAAAGTATTAGTGACTGCTTTCACAGTTCGAACTTGGGAGACAATTTTACTACTTCTTCAAAGGCTCCCTTTCGATCTACTAATGACTTTTTTATTATTTATCTAAAGTAGTTTAACATGTGATACCAAACATACTAACATCTTACGTTTAGTTTTAGAAATTTCTATCCATGTACAATTGTTTATTTACAAAATTAACGAATTGTGTTTTCAACATTCGATATTTATCAAGTTATTTTTAATCAGCTAACTCAAACAATATCTAAAAGAGAAGTTTAATACTTACATCATGAACAGCATTTCTTAGTGCCATCATTTGTTCCATTGAAACAGTCCTTGCCTAAATTAGCCAATAAAATAGTCAATAATTGCAGATTAAAAAATTAAAATATCTTCTTCCCCTTTTTATATTATAAATTAATATCCATATAATATAATTTAAATATGAATACCTCATATAATACACTCCAAACAATACCCTCAGTGCATGGAGGAACAGTGAGTGAACCAATGTATCTATAGAAAGGTTCAGCTTTGACTCCAAGTTGTTGAGGGTCAACAAGTCCCAATTTAAGACCCTTATCATCAACTGTCTTCACATGGCCTATTAACTGGTCGCAAAATCAGAAATTTCGTTAAAAATATTTAAGTACAATTTCGATAAAGTCAATTAATAACAATCCTTCATTGAATGTAATTACGTAATTGAGTAGACGAAGAAGATAATGATAACAAAATTTATGACATTAGATTAAAGTTAGGTGATATGATATTGTACACGTGTCCTGCTCTAAGTCAAGTGACATAAGTACACTTGTCATTATCCTTCAAATTAGATGAACTTTACGTAACGAATATCAAACACAGAATAAAAAATCAAGAGAGAGGATTAGGTACCTCATCAAGAAAAGGGTTAGGGGCACCAATTTTGAAGGGTATAGCAACCACAGCTAATCTACCATCAGCACTCTGATGAACCATATGGGCTTCCATAGCAAAACTGTAAAGATTTTTCGTTATTCATGTCATCATTCTCGCTTCTAATATCAATTAATTAATATAATATAAATCTAAGTCTCTACTAGATCTCCGATTAGTTAACTCAACTAATAAGCACTTACTCTTTTTGTTCCAATTTATGTAACACATTTCGGATTTTGAGATTCAAAACAAGTCTATCTTTGACCGTAAATTTTTAATATATTTTGAATTATCAATTATTGTGACTTATAGTACTTTTTCCGTAGCACATAAATTTCATTTTAAAAATTTAAAGATTTCATGAGCAAATTCTTAATCAAACTTAAATTATTTACTCTCGAAAAATGAAATGTGTCACATAAATCGAGACAAGAGTTCTATATAGTAGGAGTAGTAAATAAGTTAAAGAGTCCATGCATTTATATAATTAGATAGAAATTTAAAACCATATACTATATTAATATATATACAAACCATTTTCCATCAACTTTGTGCTCAGAAGGAGTATGCCAATGGCATTGTTGTAATCTGTACTCAGTACCATCAATGTTGATACTTCCTGCATCTGTTTCCCATTGCAACTGCCAAAACACTCATTATTTATCCGAGCGGATTCAGAATTTCAAGAAGATGAATATCATATATTATAACTGAAAAGTTCAAAATTTATATTTAACGATTCAACTTATATATATGTTCTTATCATAAATCTAATACACTAAGTTCAAAATTTATATTTAACGATTCAACTTATATATATGTTCTTATCATAAATCTAATACACTAAGTTCAAAATTTATATTTAACGATTCAACTTATATATATGTTCTTATCATAAATCTAATACACTAAGTTCAAAATTTATATTTAACGATTCAACTTATATATATGTTCTTATCATAAATCTAATACACTAAGTTCAAAATTTATATTTAACGATTCAACTTATATATATGTTCTTATCATAAATCTAATACACTAAGTTCAAAATTTATATTTAACGATTCAACTTATATATATGTTCTTATCATAAATCTAATACACTAAGTTCAAAATTTATATTTAACGATTCAACTTATATATATGTTCTTATCATAAATCTAATACACTAAGTTCAAAATTTATATTTAACGATTCAACTTATATATATGTTCTTATCATAAATCTAATACACTAAGTTCAAAATTTATATTTAACGATTCAACTTATATATATGTTCTTATCATAAATCTAATACACTAAGTTCAAAATTTATATTTAACGATTCAACTTATATATATGTTCTTATCATAAATCTAATACACTAAGTTCAAAATTTATATTTAACGATTCAACTTATATATATGTTCTTATCATAAATCTAATACACTAAGTTCAAAATTTATATTTAACGATTCAACTTATATATATGTTCTTATCATAAATCTAATACACTAAGTTCAAAATTTATATTTAACGATTCAACTTATATATATGTTCTTATCATAAATCTAATACACTAAGTTCAAAATTTATATTTAACGATTCAACTTATATATATGTTCTTATCATAAATCTAATACACTAAGTTCAAAATTTATATTTAACGATTCAACTTATATATATGTTCTTATCATAAATCTAATACACTTTTAATCGACTCAATCTAATAGCTTATAGTCTTATACCAATTAAATATCAATAAAAGAGAGTTTTCGTATAAACTCATCATTTGATGTTTCACTTAGTAAATGGATGATTTATCGATTTATCCAATAAACTATTAGGGGCTTAAATAATTTAAATTTTTACAAATATGAAATGTACCATGATTATTTTAGAGTTACGTACCTTGATATCATGACCTCTGTTAACTATCATAGCAGGGGCATTTTTGTAATTTGGTTTCAAACGAGGGATAGCAGTGGTAATTTTCACAGTTTTGTTACGGAAATTAACGGGAGACTGAAATAATCCAGTTTCACATAATTTCCATTCGGATTTAATCGTACCCCAACTTTCTGGTCCTTCTGTTGTTCCCAACAAGTAACTGAATTTTGACTCATCATCTATTAATATTGTGTCACAAAAAAATTAATAATTAAAAAAAACGATACAAAAATATTTGATATGAAAACATAATTCAACAAGAAAGGAAAAAAAACAAAATCACATGGTTAAGAAAGGTGAAACTAAAATTAAAAAAGTGTAATACTTACCTTAAAATTATCGAAAATAGAATAATTTTACCTTCCATTTGTTTTTGGTATCAAATTAATATTCTATTTCCAATAATTTAAGAGCAATTCTAATCCTTTTATGATGTAAACATTAAGACAGAATTATCTATGATACATATATAAAAAATGTTGAAATTTTCAAATTATTAAAAAAATTTAAAGGGGTATCAATTCTAACTCATATAATATATAACCATAATTTTTTTTTTGACATATCTATATCTGTATAATTTTTCGATCGAAGGAATACATACCAACTTCATTATCACCATTAGCATTGCAAATTGTGTATGATGAAATGAAGATAAATGCAAACAAAATTGGGAAGAAATTTGTCTTGGCCATGTTTGGTGGTTGTGCTAGGTTGCTCAGCCGTTATACGGTGGCGGTTCACGGTGGTGGTGGTGATGGTGGTGCTGGATAACCTTTTAATATATATTTTTTAAATATATGTGATTTTTTATTTACAAAAACTCAAAAAGGTGCCAGCAACTACAAAAATGGAAGAAAAAAATGTGAAATTTATATAGAAAATTTATGCGTTATTTTAGGAATTTGTGGGGGATGTATGACATTAAAATAGGAATTAATTAATTAGTTACCATGAATATTATCGATAGTGAGTTAGTTACTATTTTTATCGTGGATAGTAAGTTCTTCATCAACATATTCTTTATTTATAATAATTACTTAAGAAGTTACTTTTAATTGTATGAGAATTTTTTTTTTACAGTGTATTATTGGGTAAAAGTTAAACTCATTTTAGTATAACCATTAATATTATCATAACCAAGTGAGGAGCAAATTAAAATTGTCAAAATACTTGAATATGGATCATTATAATCATTAATCTACTCATATATATATCTCGGTCAGAAAATTCTTTCTTCAAATTTCGAACATTCCCTTTAATTTATTTTTTAAATTACTCATATTTAAAACAATTTTTCACAAGCACCCCACCTCATACAATTAGTTACGTTGGAGGGGCAATGGGTATTCACCTTTTGAATTAAACAAAGTATTAGGGGTTTCGTATCAACTTTCATTCTAAAGGAAATGGAAGAACCAATGCAAGCAGTTTGAATTTGATAATGACTTCTTTAGTTTGGTAGGGGGATGAAAAACTACTTCATTCTATGAAACAACCGAAAACTCAAGAGGTATCGCCTTTGGAGAAGCATTTGCCGATAATCAAAGCCCTCACTCTAATTATGTCGTGGGGGATCTTGTATATGATACGACTTCGTAGAAGCAAACTTATAACGGAGGGTATAAATGACGATTTCTTTATAAGATTTTACTACCAACCGGTTAATCCGGTTCAATCCCATGGAAATTTGTAAAAACACCACACCTGAATGTAACTAGGTTGGAATTGAGGCGTAGTTGATGATGTTATATATCCGAATCAATTAACAAAAACTCTAAATTTCCCAAACATTAACAAGGAAAAAGAAAGAAAAACCAGAATAAAAACTTTGAATTGAAAGAAACTACTCTATAAAACAACAATAGGAGGAGAAAATATGAAGAAAAAAACACTGAATTCTATGCTTCAAGTACTTAAAATGATCCATACATAACAATTTGTATAATCCAAGCTATTATAACATTCATTCTGCCACCAGCAAGTTGCTAATGAACAAACTCCTATGACATTTTAGCAAACTCATTCTACATTCCAAGACCAATATTATCGAAACGTTGCTCACTCTCCCTCATTGCCAACATGTAACTCGCGCAAACTAACAGATTTGCTCACTGAAGAACTGTCAACGATTTTCACTAATATGCCCCTGAAGTAGATGCCTTCAACTTCTTAGGTGGTGGATTACCCCCAGACAGTATCACATAAGAGTAGAAGCAGAACATTGCAGCACTGTAAAGTTAAACAACAAATTGAAGATAACATTGCACGGTTACACCTGGTAATGAATACTCGAGAAGAGAAGAAAGAAAAGAAGACGTTGCAATACCTGATGGCAGCAAAGAAGCCAGTAGGGAACATTTTTCCTGTCTGCAAAAACAAAACAAAAAGACCTTTTTAATAATGCAATCCCGGGAATAAGCCAACAGAAGACTTTGGCAATATGAAGAACTACCAGTGAGAAGGTCTGCATATTTTTCCACAGAAGGGCCGCAGCAAGTACTGCAGGACAACAAAAGGGGAAATAAAGAATTAGCGGAAGGAAGATATATTCTGCTATCCGTATTAGCAGGTCAGGGACCAGAAAAGATAGAGTTCATTAAAATATTCAACTCTATAGCAGACATATACAATTGTATAGACACAATACGTAAAAGTGAATTCAAACCCTGTATTAATTTCAATTAGTAGCAGCGTATTTTGAAAAGTTAACTGTGGATGGAAGTTGTTAAAATTTGAAGTGCGCAAAAAATAAAAATTAGCCTTGGCAACTGATATCAATGTGACATCGGTTCATAGGTCCATCAAATTATGGATGCCGTTGTTATTGTATTATGGAGTAATAAACATATCTATGATCACATACAATTTTAAACCTATAATCGGATTAGAAGAGATTTACTATTTATGCCCAAAGGAAGTGTTCCCGGTTCACAACCAATAACATGTAGACTGCCCAACAGCTACAAAGAGATGAGGCAGACAAAACGGCAAATACCTGCTTGACCCAATATGAACGGAAAGCTAGTTTTCCCTTCCCGCCACACCTTCATGCTAATGGTGCTGAGGGACAATAATGCACCTCCAAAAAGAACACCACTGCTTAATGTGGCAGGATTTCTTGAGAAAATAAAACCAATAAGTCCTCCCGTGAAAACAAGACCACCTGTGAAGAGAATCAATGAGTTGTTACCATAACTCTAAGAAGTAAAGAAGAGATAGCGAAAACGTCAAATCATTGTGTCTTATGCCTAGTGCTTTTATAGACGCTATGTACAATACAATAGTTTAAAGTAGTCTAGTGACAGTACAGTAGAACATTGAAACACTTATCTATTGATGCACCTATATTTTAGAGCATCCACTCAAGGAAAAGCTTAAAGAAATATACCAAGTTTATTACATGTGCACCTAACATGGGTATAGCCAGATAAGTGTTGCCCACTCACGTGTGAGATACATTTTCCAGAATTGGCGGTCTTGCAGGTTAAAAGAAATGTATTAAACATTTATCCTGATGTTCATAACAGAATTGACAGATGAGAAGTGAACGAATAGGCTTAAATTTCCAATAAAGAAAAAACCTTTACATGACAACTCTTGATCCTAGTCTATAGAGTCAAGTTTTCTTCATATTTCTGTTAGTAAATCAATCTTGAAAAGTTTTACTTTCAACTGACACTTGGATTTAAGAAAAGGACCAAGGATTGAGTGATCGCTCATTGTCAAAGTTCATAAGTGGCATTCTTGACTTGGAAATGTTTAGAAATACTTGAAGGAAATGCACTAAGCTTTCATTTTAAGAAAGGTGGGGAGCATAGTGTGTCACCTTCATCTTCTTGTTCAATAATCAGAGAGATTACGGAGGAAAGTTTTTTTAAAAAGGAACAAAATCAACTAATATGTGATGGGCTAAATTTGAAGAGATTTTCAAAACCTCTAAACTGGCTGAATTAACAAGTGGACAAGAGACCAAGTTAACAAAAAATGGAAGATGATGTGGCAAAGGTAAAAAATTGACACTTGTTTGTACCACTATACACATTGTGAAGAGAAGTATGAAATATGGAATCCTGTGAATAGAGAAGCATAGATGTTCCTCTGCCTCCTCAGAGTATAAGATGATACTCACCAAAGGGAATTCCTAAGCAGAAATCATGAATTTTTGCAGCCTTTTTTGGCTGGCTGCTGGAGTTCTCTTGCACTGACTCATTTATTTCTTTCTCAGTGACATTTTCTTCTAGTGCAGAATATGAGTTTGATGCAGTCCCATTAAGTGATTGCGATGAATCTGTTGCATAACTTAATGTGGTCCTGTTCTTTAAACTGGATTCATCTGTGCCATGCCCATCGTTACTCATAGCAATTACCTGAAATCCATGATAAACGAAGTTTGTCTAAGTGAAGGAATACAGATTCCACAAGGCGAGTCACTCCCTTACAGACAAAGTGAAGGAATACAGATTCCACATGGCGAGTCACTCCCTTAGAGAACAAAATGTCATGCACCGTACTAAAATGTCAAACTAAAGGAGCAAAAATATCAGAAAGGGAAAAAGACAGTTACGTTTTGAAGTCAAATACCTACTATCAGCAAAAAAAATTACCATTTAACTCTGAGTTTGCTTCAAGAAAACATAGAAACAAAAAGAGTAAGAGGGAAAGTAAAACACTAGCTTACAGAAGGTGCAACTCCTAAAATCAGAAAAACAATAAGATAACAATTGAGTATAACTCTGTATGGAAGCATCATGGAAGTTTTGAGGGTATTTTAGATTTGAAAATCTTGGCTCCCAGAGGTCCACTCTGGCCTAAGATTAGATGTTATATACTTGTTTTATAAAAATAAATATAGAAGTAGTTTCAGGCTCCGTCTTTCATCTATTTATGAGCAAAATCATATTCAGAAGGGGGAAGTATGCATCAATCTTCGGCTGAATAAATTATAATCACATTAAAAGTAAGTAATTTTATTGGTCAAAATATATCAACCAATCAATCAACTATTCCTCAATCACAAATTAGTTGGGGTCAACTATACAAATCCCATAAGACCATTCCACTTTATTCGGGCCCAATTTTTTGTGTCCAAACATATGATTGCTGAATATGCCCTATAAGTTTATCAGGAGGCACTACTTAAGAAGATAAGTCTCTTAAGATGAAATCTTATCGACAAAAAAAGATGTTAGAAGCTCTAAATGATCACATATTAGACCACGATAAACCTTACACCATATATCAGTGGAGTAAAAACATACAAGAGCACTCAATAAACAGAACGATACAAAATCTTAAAATTCTTTCATTTTCCCAGCATTAGCCCCCAAGCAGTTAGTGGCAGATTCAAGATTCAAGCTTTCTCTTATACACGATAACACACCACATAATTTCATTTGCCTTCCTGCTTAAGGCACTAGTTCGAATGGAAACCCATGCCCCTTTGAACAAAGTCTCCCCCTTTGACTAGTGCTACTTCCGGTGAAAGGAATGAAGATCTTTCATATAGACAACCGACAGACACAAGACATATACCAACTGAAGAAATAAGGAACTAAAAAAGCTAGTCTTTTTGTGGGGATGGTCTAATTTACTAGTGACAACGAAGTTCTCGGTAATTAGCAAGGGAGAAGGAGGATCAACTAGTTCTGTGAGTTACATCACCACTTTTGAAACTATGGATACCACCTAACAACATAAACATATACTTCAAATAAAATTTCAACTATAATATGGTTCAAGCTCAGAGTAATGGATGCATCCCCAACATTTACAGAAAACACTAGTTTCCCAATACCCCAAATGAAATTATGAGGAAAAACATGTCTTGGTAACAGAGAATAGACAAATAAAATTCTGGGGTTCCATAAAAATCAATTCTTGATGTGAAAAAAGGGAAAAGATTGTACCTTTAGGGGAAAAGTAGAACATGGGTGCAATGGTCGACTATGAAACTGTACTAATCTGCGATTGATTGAAGAAAAACAAGAAAGCTGAGAGATTGCCAAAGACATGGCTGCTTACAATGGATGTTGAATCTTGATTTGCTTCCAAAAAATTTCTCAGCGTACAAAAATCAAGAAAAATGTGTGTTTTGAGTTTGAGAAAGTCAAATAATGTTAGGTGCATACAATTAATAAACTTTGATTTGACTGATTAGGCTTCAGTTTTTTACTTTGAAGTAGTAGATAGATTCTTATGAAAAATCAAACAGTTTCTTCAGATCTATTTTTCCCCTAATTATATTTGAATAATTAGTTGGTAAAGAAAATAAGGGCAGGGACAAAAAAAGACAAGAATTCCTGACATTTTTTGTTTTTTTTAATCATTTAAGCATGCTAATTAATTAAAGATTTACTTTCACATAAATTTATCATTTGATAACAATAAAAATATAATCTTTGATATAAACACCAAACTGAGTAATTTTTTTTTAAAGATGAGTTAAAGTAGGTTAATTATTTTATTTTTAACATAATAATGTATATGTATTGTGGTATTTAAGTTAAACCATGAATAAACACACACAAAAATGCAAATTGATCCTATATAGTATTAGATGGTAAGCTAGGAAATATTTAAGCTTACAAACACATTAATAGCACAACTTTTTCAAGCTATTAACTACTCTAAATTTCTCTCAATGAATAAATCCTTTAATACTTTTTTATTTATTAGACCAAAAAAAATTATCAAGATTTTTTTTAAATTTTTTATTTTTTATTTTTTGGTTTACCATTCGACACATTAGAACTCGATTAAATTTGAATTCGGGTGGATAAGTCACACATTGGAGCTAACAAAGGCAATTTGCTGATTCCATACTCCCCTAATTCGAAAGCTTTAATTAACGATAAAGAAATACTTACCACTTCGCAATATTGATTGGTTAATTACTAAGGGGTAATCTAATAAGTATTACAAAAAAATGGTTTTTCTTTTTAATTTTCCCCCCTTATCATTCTTGAAAAAAGGAAAAAATAAAAGCTCTGCTTGTAGATTAATGGCAGGACTATAATACAGCTGCTAAAAGCTCCAAAGTTGGAGTAGCACAGATGCCCTAGGGAACAAACAATGGTGCTTCAATTTCTTCGCTCTCGTTGCCTTTCTGCTTTCCCCTTATCTTCTTTCAAACCTCAGGTAATTTTTACTCTCTTTACATATATACAAGTAAAAAGGTGTACTTTTTGGAGTTATGGGGTTTGTTATTTTTGACTAAGAATTCAGTCATAAGTATAGTGTTCTTAGTTTTGGCTAATTATGTGTTCTTTTTTGCTTTTTTGGGGTTAATTGTTATCAGAATGGAATGGCTTGGAGAAGGATGCGTAGTGTTTATGCATCTTCAGCAGGTAGTTAAAAACTATCTTTACTTGTTTAGTTTTTTTCTTATGATTGTAAAGTTCTAATCTTTTTTTGTTTTTTGTCATAAAAAAGTTCAAATCTTTTTTTTTTTTGGGGTGGTGGTGGGTGGGGTGGGGTGGGGTGGGGATATAA